ACCCTAACAGAGCTACGCAACCACCAAATACTTAAATTTATTTTACAGTGTCCCTTTATTTAAAATTACTCCTTAATGTTGAAAGCGTTGGCAGGGGCAATTTCCATATTAATCTACTTAAGGCTTTACTACCACAATGAAAAAAATACCTGAAACAGATGCCATTATAATTTTCAGGTGTTTGTTGGCAATAACCACCATGTGTGTGGCGTAAAATGAATACGTGCTTGCCATCAGCTTACCGCGATCGTGCCTGCTTGGATTCCTTAAAAAAATAGCTAGTATTATATTTATGGTCAATAATCATTTATATCAAAAATTTAAAACCGATATTAAAAACATTAAGCAGTCACTGTATGTAGTGTAGATTTAAAACCGTCTAGAACATATTTCATATGACCTAATGAAAACAAGCAACATTATTTATACTGGGTGCGATCCAGTTATCAATAGATAAAGCCCATTTGTGTGCCACAGTGAGGTAGAATTATTTTCGTCTCCTCAATATCAGACTAAAAACTTTTGATTTGGGACGTATTCAAGTTGTTAGATGGCACTATGTTTGATGCTAAATCACTTAGAGATAATCTTGTGATGGAATTTCTCTTGCACAACACTGAATAAATTTGGGTTAGCGTAAAAAAAACATGATTTAACTTAATCTGGCTAGTCATTTGAACAACATATGAAGCCAACTTATTTATTCACCTCACGATGTGTAATTTATTTGCATAGTTTTTTTGGTTGATGTCACACTGTTAATTTTTGATTTGCCTCGCTATTGCCAAATTGTTCATCACAAAGGGTTCCTCCTTTAATATTGGTTCAGCTATGTGAAAGAGGCCTAAGGAACATCGTGTCATCTAGCCTTATTTGCGTTAATGCTGACGTAACCAGAATTCGCAATTACTAAAGTCGCTTTCATGGCTTAAAATAATGCAAAATGCGAGAGTTGCATCCATGGTATAAACGAGTAAATTTGCCGGAGGTATTTAGTCCTAAAAATATACAATAACATGAAGCTTCATCAGGTATTGAAAAGACATTTGTTTTATACTAACATGTTCACTAGTGGATGTCTTTGACTTTTGATAGCGTTTACTAAGACACACCATCTCCTGCATTTTGCATACGTTTTACACAGAGTCGTCATTCAACATAACTATGCTCGAGTAGATTAATACCTTGTGCATTTCTGCTATTTTTATTTTACCTCTGTGATCAGTTAATTGTTCTGCTTCTGTCTACTTACTGAAGACCAATATGGAAGTTAAACAATATAACTATCGATGTAGAATTCTGTACCTGATTTCATCCTCATCTTCTATGATTTATACTCGACTATGTCTATGCAGGGATTTTAATTATACTTCCTTTATGCATCATGCGAAACTATTCTATCACATTTGACTTATCTTAATTATCTTCATATGTACTTTAAATCAATGCATGTATGTGTGCTCTCACGACAAAGGACTATTAAATTTGCACACAAACCTCAAAGTCTATCCTTGTGCATAAGCAAATTCTCACTCCTGTCATCAGGCATCAATGAGTTGAGCCGAGCAGTTTGAGCCTTGTGAATTACCTATGTGAAACCACACAAATCGATCTCTCTATTGTGCTGTGCATCAAGTCTGAATTATGGCAAACAGAAGTTCACCACCAGAGATAGAAATAGCCTATGTCAGCATATTCATGCTAAAGCAAATGAATATTCACAAACTGGCATGGCTTTACTCACGTTAATACTCAACCCTTAGACCCTTAGATGCACCAACACTACCCTAATACAACCCAGGATAAGAAAAAAACCCACAAGGACTATGTGTGAAAAACGTTAGTGCAGTCAATATGTATGTTTTGGTGATTACATATACAAAAGTCGGATATATTACTAGGGACACGCAAGTATTTGTAGTAGTGTCAGTAAATAAGCCTAGCTTTTAGTTGGATGTTTCATTAACGTAATGGTGACGCGCCAATTAGCAGGAAATTCATTTCCATGTAGCACGCATTGCTTTTTTGTCAGAATGTATAAAATAATGGATAGAATGTTCTGAAGCATATTCAGGGGCATTCACATAATCTGGATCCGCAAACACGTACGGTGATAAAAGACATATTTGCCCTAACACATTGATAACTATCAATCTCTTAAAAGCAGGTGAAGCAATCTGACAGCATCTCAGTAGATGCATACCAAACGTCAGTGATCAATAACTCATTTATGCATTAAAAATTCACGGCCATTCACAAACGGGTTTGTATGTTAACCCCTAATTGGCAAAAATTTTGATGGTCCACGCGAATTCCTGAAACTTATGCTACGTACCATGATTGACACACTCACTTAATAAAATCGTTTGGCAAACCAGCGCACTCTTACCACGCGTCAATCACCTATTCTGCTATGCGATGGGTGGGGTATATCATTGGAAGCTTAGTAACGCTACCAATGTCAAACCACACAAGTCCGCCTTAGACTAATTAGCACATGTCCGTAAAATATAATGTTAAGTTATAGGCAATTGCCGTAGCGCACTTTGTGGTTAAATAGTTTATGGTACTGAATAGTTGTCGTAAATATGCATAGCAGCCAACAAATATAAAAACAAACATATAAAACTGATGTTTTAGTCAATAGATTCAGGTCTGTTGAACAAACGGAAATTAAATGATCGCATATCATTGGTGGTGGTGGTGGTGAGAATCTGCATTACTGTCACGACTATTAAATAAGATTAGTTCATGCCAGTATTAATTGGTATGTGAATTTTGCACGTTTGAACTTGTGATTTACTAAAGGTAACTGAACATTTCAATTCGAGTTAAAATGATTCATGATTACGTGCATTTGAATACTGTGGACGATTAGACACACCGATCAAATGGCCTCTAAAAACGATGGGTTTCTCAGTTTTCATTACCCTTGACTTCTAAATTGTCTTAAATAACGCCCACTGTCGGCGCAGCATGCGATCTCTATGGAATTTGTTTATAGTAATTCTAGGTTAATGCTTCGCCATAAATTTTATGATGACTTTCACAATCACACATTAACATTCTAAAATTAAAAAGAGACATGTTCTCTTAAAATATCTACACCACGTCGGTTTTAAATATTTCGTTTAACATAGTCGGATTACGCGATGCATTCAACAATTTAAATGCGCTATTAATTGTTAAATTTTTGTGAGCAACATTAGCCAAAGTAACAATTGAAGACCCATTTTCAAATGTATATTTCGTATTATCTGGGTAATTGAATTAACAAGAGACAGTCAAAATTGTCACATGTAAAACGATTAGCATCTGTGACCAGCCGTAACCCAATACCGCCGTATTAACGCAGGTTTGTTATAAAAGTTAAGGACTAGAACTGAATGAACTTCAATTACTTAAATTTTATAACCCTTGATATGTGCGAATAGTGTACCTTAGAGATATCCACTATAATGAAATTAACAAATGACAGTAACGAAGGTGTTCATTTACTGAAATAAACACCCGATTTCTGACCCTCTCCGATCGCAGTTGCTATAAAATGAAATTTCACAGTCATTGGTTCACTGGGGCCCTCATGCACGCTGTCAGTCTACTGCAAATTTTTATTTAATGCCCGTATATCATTTGAAGAAATTTCATAGGTATAGTGAACGTAAGTGTTGATCTCATGTTCTCACTCATCACAGAACGCACACAACGTCTTGATTCCCTTAGGTCTATTTCTATTTCTAAATATTTCTGCCTGCCACTTTTACTACTAATAGCTGCGCCAAACGCAGTAGTTTATTGGCACATTGGTTGCCGTTGAACAAAATTCCAGAGAAAATTCGATTTAACTTGTCCGATAGAACGCAGAATGCAGTCTAGGTCGCCGAAAATACGACGACTTATCATTAATTAAACTAACTGCTCTGTCGATTAACTATGGTCGTTTTGACTACTACAAAGGAAATAGTACCTGTTTATTCAACAATCAGGTATGCTTGACATAAAGCGATATTCTTTATTTAGCCTTTCAAGAATAAGTTTACCTTAAAATTAAGCAATATTGTAGAGTTCCAAGAAATGCTCTTAACTTTGCAGAGGTTTGTTGAAACATCATTACTACTGTGCGGATTTAGGTTACATCGTTGACAAAGACCTTAATTCGCGTTGCATGGTTGTTTTAGATTGGATTTTGTGGTTAGGCAATAATTATTCGAAACATTCATCTACCTCATTTAAAAGCTCCAGCGTAAATCGTGATAAGCTAACAGAAATGGCCGATGACATCCACGAGTGTCTCATCCACGAAGAGGAAAATCCAACCATCTCCTTTGGTGCGGAAGGTAACAAGTTGCCAACCACCTACTAAAACTGAAAGAATTATCACTTAGACAGCCACAGCAACGGCAGCGCAGCACTTCTTGTTTCCACCAGTAAAATTAAACCATTGGGAGATCCGACCTACCCCTTAGACACGCTGTCCTCTTTGCTGATTCCATTTGATAGTTTCCGAGCGTCCTTTTTTCAACAGCTCGCATACTAGGGGTGAATATGTGTAGCGGATTAACCACGATCGCGTCGGAGATTGCGGTTTCATCTTTGACCCCAACACCACCCGGCGACAATTATTCGGCAATTCCATTTACCATGGGGAGAGCTGTGGCGAGCACAGTTATAAATGGTGAGCGAATGCAGTGTGCAAGCACAAGCAAACACAGTTCATTCGATTATCTGTGAACGCATCTGCTATCCTGTACACAACACACACCGCTACTGCTTTAATAAGTTGGTTGAGCTACTGGTTATCTGTATTTCTGCTCTACTTTCGGTCGGGCCGTGTCAGTGTAGAGTGTCGGTCATGGTGTGGTTTCTTACAACACTCTAATTAACAGCCCGTAACAACCCGAATGGAGAGAAGCAAGAGACGACAGTGGACACAACCGTTTAACGTGTCAAAACAGCCAAGTGTCTTTGTGTACTTTTGAGTACGCGTGCTTAGCAGGCGAATGCTAATAGATGTCAATAACAGAGGGGGTGAGTCACTGGTACACTCGGCCGATCCACACGCATCACTCACGCGAGGTGGACGTCTGTCCACTACAAATTGTAAGGAGTCGTGTTGGTTCATGTCCAAGTACCCAGTCCTTGAAGCTTTCAGCACACGTCCCCACGTTTCACGACCTGCCGGTCAGTCAAGTGAGGCCACTGGTTCATTAACCACTGTGAATCTCCCACCACCACCCGTTTTAGTCATGTGGCCCCGGAGTGTTTCAAGACAACAAGCCGTGGCCCTCAATAAGAGTGTTAGCTGTGAAACAGTAAACGCTCGAAAATTACTGAACTGGGTGGTTCGAGGGGCGGATAATGCCATGACGGCACATATGTTCAAAATCGTCTGCAGCTGCGCCGCGCTTATCAGGGGCACGTCGACTGGCCTTGGCAAAGAATCCTCGAAGAGATATTATTGTAGTTGAGTCCGTAAGCTGTGGGAAAGGAGGTTGAAAGCCGTTGAAAATCAGTCACGGTAAAAATGAAGGCAAATCGTCGCCTTAGGCCTAGATCTAAAGTAAGTAACTTTTGTCCATAGGTTGCAATAACCAAATTGTCCTCAGTTTGAAGTCGAAGACCAGAGGTTTTGAGGTGGCGTTTGTTAGGTCTAGGAGGAATTAGGCTAACAAGTGCTAATCAAAAATTTTAAACCACTGTGTGAATCGGTGACGCAGAATGGACTGAGTGCCTACACCGGCCATAGTCATCACTGGCTGGCCTTCTAGTTTATCAAAGGTACATTAGACGGCTTAAGGGCCAGGGCGTGACTACACGGGCATTGTCAGGTTTGGGCCTTGTTATCGTTCCACCGGTGGGACCAGCACAGGTCAAAACGTTCTCCAGTTTGGCTGGATCGGGAAATGGTAATGAAGAACGCTTTCGACTTTGTAGATGGCTCAATGACCTACTCGGGTTACTTCTAGCAAGTTCATCAAATTTAGTAGACGGTGTGCCCTCTCTTTCTTCGTACATATTGATGCCCAAATTGTAAGTGCACGCTAAAGAGCCAGAAAAGACAGTCCCGTGACCCAGTTCCTGGAAAAAAACTTGTGGATTTATCATTTATGCAAGCGAGATTCCCCAGTGGTGTTTTAGAAAACACGATATTATGAAACTTGATAAAAGCGTAACAAAACAAATGTTAACAAATTAATGCAAATAAAGTCAGAAACCAATCTTGGGGAATCGTGGATCCCCAACATCCTGACATCAACTTTTTCTGAATTGATTGTCTGCCATACTGAATCAAATGGTATTATGGAGCAATTTCATTTGTAACCGAACACAATTATCTCTGCGTAATAACTCGACAATTCATAGTTTTTTCAGGGAATTCCGTTAAACAAATTCAAAGACATTGGCCTAACTTAAGAAATATGTGGTGCATTCTTAGTAACAATGATTACATTAGATTGAGCTGAAGACACTATTTGTTTTCTCGATTTTGTTTGCTGTGATACTCCTTCGTCAAAAGTATTGTTATCTCAAAACAAATTGAGACTGACAACATCTCATCAAGTTTGTCAAAATCCTTACAATTCGCGAAGAACAGATAACGCAGAAACTGGCAGTTTTCAACTAAATCACCACGTGCAACCATTAGTTGATTGACATATAATATGTGCAGGCGGTGTAAGGTGTTCATGTGACACAATCTCTCCTTATGTGGGTGCGTGTCGTGCTGGATTGTCATGAGAACTATAGTTGGGTGTGAGCCTAGCCGATTCGCAGCCAGTATGCGCTAATTAATACAAAACTTGATTTTTCTCACAACTTTGAATATACCGTCCTATCTACGAAAAAATCGCGGTTCTGTTTGTAGGCCTAGAATTTGATAGACTTGACGTACGTGTCTTACACCTTACATGGTAGCTCTGGCGTACCTAAATTAAATTCCCTAATTTTCTGTGAAAATGTAATACGATGGTGATTGCGATTGTTGTAGGAACCAGAAATCCAGCCTCGGAATTGAATCGAGATCAGCATGTTGAATAGTGAATAGTGACAAAGAAGTGTGGGTCTTAGACAAGGGGCCAATACAACGTCCTTGTTTCTCATTCGTTCACCGATAAAAATAATCTTACTCTAATGCCTCCAGCTGTTAATAACCAAAAGGAAACACACTGGTGCACGTTGTTTTAATACGATTTTCTTCACTATATTACTACTGTATACTTTTTATTAAATACTTCAAAATGGAATAATTTATGAATGCATTTACCACATAAGCCAAATTGTACCTCACATTATAATGCAAATGCCAACCATCCACATATTGGTTTCTGAAAACAAATAATCTGCAAAAAAAATTAGCTCTCCTAAACACACATGCCTCTTAATGTACTTCTGAGATATTTTTCCTTTTAAACACTTTATATTATACTGCAGCTATGTTGTCCCACGAAAATAACCAATGTTTTTATGGTAGCGGCCTCATGTGTGGCCTAGTGCTTGAGAGAAACACTCCCCATCACTGAAAATATTTTAAATCCGTAGAGGAATTATTTCGTCCCAATGTGAATACACAAGATAATATCCCATGCCAAAGTAAGGTCAAATGTTTCATGAAGGAGGGACAGAATGAATGGAAGGGATAACGGAGAAACGAACAAAAGGAGAACTGCGAATGCCAACATTTCTCACGTGGACTCTTGCACAAAGTCCCATGTCGTGTCAAAGCTGGTAGTATAGGTAGTGGTGAGTAGAGAGGTATCGTTCGTACACTGATTGCGGTAACAGAAAAATCCGTCAGGACATGCGCTGCAACTGCTTCCGTTTGCGTAAGGCCTTTGACCCTCAATATTACCTCTAAAGGTGTGAATTCGAAAAGAAAGTTATGTAGGTATATTGTTAATTAAGAAAAGATAAGAAGTTTAATTTGTTTTTGAACTCACGCAGGTTCGTACGCACATGCCACAAGATAGCGTTGATTAACAGCATTTCCCGGTACTATTGCCGCATTGGCTCATTCCGCAGCCGACCGCAGTAGCATTAGCCCAGACATACTGCAAATTTTGTCAAGGATACTGCTAACACTCATTGATTTTTGGTGATATTAAAAAACATTAACGGTGGTTATCAAGTATTTCTGGACAACTGCTTTTTTCGTATAAAAATTCAGAAAAGCCACTATTGCAAAAGTTGAATTCAGTTTTTCAGGTACCTGGGTGTACTAATCTGTCACTTTCAAGTCATTGCTTAAAAGTGATTAATACCGCCAACAACCTCGCTACATATTCACATGTATGTCAGCCATCCATGTAAAAATATGGATATCTTAAACTTCAGTAGAAAAATTGCAAATGTGCAAGCATACCTGAATATATAGTCTGCAGTTTCCTTTGCAGCTATTATTTTCATAATCGTAGTTTTCAAGAATATTGTTGAAGATAGGCAATACCTCAATGTACAATGGTTTTGTTTTCGACTGGTAATAAATCCATGTAACTGCGATATTTGTGTGAATGGGCAGTAGTGTAGAGTTAGGCGTTTGGCCAGTACAGTTTGCCGCCCACTGCTCTGCCAGAGTTTCCAAATTATTGGAGTAACTCTAGACACGAGGAACATAAAAAAATTGACTGGATGTAGGAATGAAGTCGATGGGCTGTTGTGTAGATATTTTTTCATGACGGTAATTGATGCAATGCAAATCATAAAAATTCTCATTTACACATAGCTGCAAAACTTATCTGTTTAACATGAAAAGAAATTAAGCGTGTTGATATCGTCGGTTTTGTGATATTCTTACAGCTCTCTCGACGATAAACTAAAGGAAGAGTATTTTTGTGCTCACCAAGAGTCGCATGTTGCTGGCACTTGGAGTAACATTGCCGCGCGCACTTGTGTGCTGTTCAAGTATGTCAGCGCGATCCTGGTCCGTATTGTTCTCGGCCACTGCGCACCATGAGATTGCAAGAATAAAGACAAATTTCCACATTGCGTCTACAAGAGCTTAACGTGACACAGCTAACTTACTGAAGGTAAATAAAAAATTTTCAAATATAATTTGCCTCTACCTGCCGCCAGTATATATATGTGCAATTAAGTAAATTAGAACCCAAAAGGAATTGGTTATTTAGGACCATGGAAATGAATATGCAGTGCCTTAAACAGACGTTGTCAACGTGATTGATTTAGTGCTCCCAGCTGTACTTCCGTTTTAGTGTGGTTTCAATACTCAGGGTTTTGAGATTAATTGCGATCAGAACTTTCATAATTAATATCAGCGCATTTGTGTTTTTTTTTAATATTAGGATGCAGGTCCTGAATATTAAATTCAAAAATCTCAACACAGGCAGCGCGTTGTTAAGTTGGAATGTGCTTATCAACTATATATCCTACTCTGCAAGACACCAACGTCAATGAAACTACTAAGATGACTGTAAAAAGTATGCAAGACGTGCTAGCAAAATGCACAATACGATGTTGGAATCACGGAACTTCGCAGGTGCCGCGAATTTGCAAATTATTTCAAAATTAGCAAGCAAAGTTTGCATTGGTTAATAAGGCAGGACTCTGTGTGCATTACCAAAGCAGATGCTGCCTACTGCACAACAAGTTATGAAAATGATAAGCAGGTTATTCCTGATTTACTTTCTGATCAGGGGCTTAAGATTATCACACTGGCTCAAGTCGCAACCGCTTTCAGCCGAATTAGGCCAGATATTCTGTAAAGTGTATCAGTAATACTTCTGTTGTGAGCCCCAGCATGTGGTCCTGAACCACGCCGGGGCCACGAAATTAACTCTGGACTAATTAAGCTTTCCTGATGCCTGCGATGAAGAAAAAGACCGGAGATGACGGGATACAGTCGTTTACTTTAGTGCTCAACCAAAACGGGTGTCGGTGTGTCGTGTGTGGGGTTTATACCTCGGATGTTTAGGTCATACATGCGCTTACATCGAGACCTATATGTGAGGATGATCTAAAATAGTGTGAATGAGGGATGTTGTGGATCCGCGCGGCTGACGACATGGTGCGAAAACGGGGAACCCTGTGTCGGAGGCGGCGCGATCGGATTAAGGGGTTGACTAAACACGATTTTCAACGCGTCCGAACCCTTGTAATTTTCGTCGAATTCAGAAGAAACAATGCTGCATGACCTTTCAGTTACGGCTACCTGATCATCAAATAAAATCCATACAACAGTGCAATACGAGTTCCAAGCTCCTTATGGACGGAGTAGCATACACTCACATAGCAGTGATGTTATGCCAGGTTAAACGAATCCCACCGTTGGAGGAACCACCCCGATTTCGAGAACCTTTGATACTAGACTTCATTCCTGCAGTTGGACTTGGTTTTTCACTGAATTCAATTTCCAAACTACCTTGATTTTTGCCCGTAAAACTCTTGATGTGAGTGATGGCCGGTATTTAATTTGAGTGGCACCATGTAAATGTAATTAAAATCAAATCCATAACTG